TAATTATTCTAAGAGTTTTAGGAAGTATAATATGTGAAAATTCTAAAAATAAAAATAAAAAAGTAATTTTTTTGATATCTGCAGAAGTCTAACTTGTATAATAATTTATTATTCCAGTTAAAACACTTTTTAGATGAGTTCAACTACGTTAGCGAGCATAGTTTTAATCACCAGTTTTGCTAGTGGGGCATAATTGCGTTATTTTGTCTATAACGAAATTTTTTAAAGACACATAATTATAATTTTAGAAGATATTCATAATAATAATAGCTCCCGTATATAGCGTTTGACGCCTTGGGAGTAGTGATGGGTTGTTATTTAACTATCTGTTATTTTATAACAATTATTTAGAAATAACATAACGCAACCGTTACTACTTTTAAAAAATAACAGATATAAAATAACGACACGCAGAGATCGACTGTTCGTGAAACGAAGTCGGCGCTGTGCACCGCCACAAAATTCGATGCTGCTCGAAGCAATTCCAAAAAACAACTAGTATGGATGCTTAAAGCCTTTGACGTAAAAAGCTGATTTTTGGAAAACGGATTGACTTTAGGGTGTGGAGGTTCGATAAGAAGGGATTTTTCGAAACTCAAATTCCTCCAGGGGGTGAAACCACCCTCAAATATTAGAATATTTTTTATTTAAAAACTGGTGAGTTTTTCGAAAAAACTCTTAAACACGTATATTTTATTTTGTTGTTTTACATATTTTAAGATTTAAAAAAAATATTTACAGGGTGTTTCATAAAATATGACCATTGAGTAATCATGATTCTGCTTAAACTGCTTGACGTTTAGAGCTAATTTTTGGCAAAGGGATTGACTGTGGGGTGTAGAGGTTCGATAAGGAGGGGTTTCTCGAATCTCAAATTCCAAGAGGGTGAAAACGCCCCTCAAATATTACAATATTTGTTATTTAAAAAACGGTTAGTCTTTCGGGAAAACGCTTGGACACGCATAATTTATTTTGTTTTTTTACATATTTTGAAATTTTTAAAAAAATCACACAGTGTATTCCAAAAAGTTGAGTAATTGATTAACCACGATTCTGCTTAAACTGCTTGACGTTTAAAGCTTATTTTTGGCAAATGTGAGAAAATTTTATCCAGTTTGTATGTTAATGGAAATTCTTGCTTTGCTTTATCATCACCATTACAAATTAATAATTCGACGCGAACGAAGTCACGGGTACACGCTAGTTTAAGTGTAAAATTAATTCGAACTCTAGTCTGTAGTTGGTTTACTTATGAAGAATATACTACACATTTTCTTATATTGCTATTTTTTGACCGCAAATGGTAAAATCATAACTAAGAGCTTCTCGCCCGTCGAGTTAGATGCACCCTGTACACTGCTACGCAATTAAGGATCTACGCGGATCGAGGGGCAGGGCGTAGTTAGATCGGAATATACCAAAATCACAACCAAAATGCCGCCACTCGTCTATACCTAGACGAGTGGCGGCATTTTGGCTTTTTTATATCGCAATTTGTAAACAGCGCTTATTTGTAAACAACCACCGTTTTTAGAGAGGTATTTTAGATAATAATCGATATTTAGAAATGTTATGACACCCTGGAAACACTACCAGCGAGCACGTCATTGTTGCAACTTGCAACTACGTTGATACGCCTGGCGGTGACCGCCTCATACTCTTTCAGATATTTAGCAATAAAATAAAGAAACCTGTTATTTTTAAGCTGTTATTTTATGCTGTTTTTTTTAAATAACTATAACAGTTTCAACTGTTGTCTAAAAATAACAGTTTTGCCCATCACTACTTGGGAGTAGCAAGGTACAGCTTGCCATGCTAGAGCCGTTCGGTATACAAGGAAGGTAATGTGGCTAGCACTACGCTTCAATTAGTGTTGCACAAGAGTCTTGAAAAAGTCTTGCAAGACCAAGACTCTTGCAAGAAATTCAAGACAAGACTTTCAAAATTTCTTGTCTTGAATTTCAAGACAAGACAAGACTTTAATATGCAAGAAATCTCAAGAGTCTTGCAAGATTTCTTGAAAGTTATAATTAGAAATGATACATTTTTTAAGTGATAATTAGGTATTTGCGCAAGTTATGCCGGGTTTATACAACATTAACATAGTGGTAATCACAATCATAGTCATAATCATAAAAGTTATACTATCCACTTCTTATAAACCTGTTGACATCTACCATGAACTTAGCCTTTAATTATGTTACCCAACTTCACTGATATAAAAATTATGATTATGAAAATGTCCTATAAACGGAATTTTCGTATTACATTTTATATACGACGCTTTCTATGAAATAAAATATAGAAATTTTATTACCTTTTTGTTAGAATGTAAAATTTTTCAAGACAAGAAATTTAAAGAGTCTTGCAAGACAAGACAAGACTTTGCCATTCAAGAAATCTGCAAGACAAGACTTTGAAAATGTCTTGTCTTGTGCAACAGTAGCTTCAACCGCCTATTATTACCTCAGGATTGTGAATCCCAAGTGCTCATTTAAGGCTGAGTCGACCTAGGTACCCAAACTATTTTTATTTTAATAAAAATTGTCGGCTGTTGAAATGCCCGTTGTAGGATTCGAACCCACACCTTGAGATTGGTACACGAGAGCCTGTACCTCTACTCCACCGGGTACCTAGAAGATATTCATAAAACATTTAATCTAGTTGATTAAAAAAAGTATACAATTAATATTGCAAATTATATTTTATCCTCTCATAGTATAATATGTCTTTTTTTTTATATCTTCAATTTAGTTTTGCTATTGATCAAATCGGTGTGAGAAACTATGAAGCTATAAAATGTTGTTTCGGGAGAGTTGAATATCGGGGAAAGTTGAGTTATTGAATGTTATTGTACCAAACAACGCCCTAATTACGCTCTCCTTTACGTGTTAACATTTTTTCGGCAATTTTATTAACACTAAAAATTGTCACAACACAACACGACGCCTAGTTCGAATTCTTTTTCACTTATTTTTTTATTACACGAGACAGCACATCACACAAATCTCGTACCTGATGAGTGTTTTATAGTTTCAATAACTGCACTAGCAAAAAACCAAAATACTTACTTAAATATTATGACAAAACCACTATTTCAATATTATTTTAATGCGGCCAACATGACGGCGCGGCAGCGTGAACTATATATTGATAATTTCAGATTTTTTCTGTTGAAGCGCTGCGGTCGGAATTTGTTGAAATCGACTGAAATGCACCAAGTCTATATACAAAGTATATACAAGTTACATTGTGTGATGTAACGCTGTTTCGGGTAGTAAAAAAAATGAAAAAGAACTCAAACTAGGCGTCGCCGTAGTGCTATGTTGTGACAATTTCAAATGTTAATCAAATTGCCGAAAAAATGTTAAAGCGTAAAGGACAGCGTACTTATGGCGTTGTTGGGTGCAATAATATTCAATAACTCAACTTTCCCAGATATTCAACTCTTCCGAAACAATATTTTATAGCTTCACAGTTTCTCACACCGATTTGATCAACAATAAAAATGGATTCAAGCAGTTGGGTAAAAAACGATTCAGTCAGTAAACAAAGTGCTCATTACATATTCAAATAATTAAATATGAGAGGATAAAATATAATTTGTAAAATTAATGGTTTATTTTTTTTAAACAACTAGTTATTAAATGTTTTATGAACATCTTCTAACATTATAATTACTTTTATGTACCTTTAAAAGAGTCGTTATAGCCGAAATAGCCTCAATTATGACCGCACTAGCAAAACCAGTGATAAAACTATGTTCGCTACCGTAGTTGAACTCATCTAAATTTTTTTTAGCTAGAATAATAAATTATAATACACGTTAGACCTACTGAAGATGTCAAAATATTTACTTTTTATTTTTATTTTTAGGATTTTCAAAAATTTTATGTACTTCCTAACAATTATAAGAATAATTATATACCAGTTGTTTAGGATATTCTCCGATGGTGACAGAACCGGCGGAGAATGCACCAAACCTATAAGTGGTATATGATACTACGCGTATTCAACTGCAATATTCCATTGCATAATTATTGTAAATTCTAAAAACACCTGCTAACCATGAAAACTTCAGCAACACATGATTAACTTCTAAACAAAAACGACTTAATTCATACAAAAACTGAGGATTTATATAAGCCAATCAACAAGCAGACCCTTTTCAAAAACCTAGAATGTCAAAAAATTAATAAAAATTATTGATTGTCAAAACCATACTTTGTAATATAATCTACTTAATTGTTTTTATTTATTGAGTAGTTTGCCAATTAATTATTATCTCTATTTGCTGCTTAAATAGCATGCATATTTTGACTACATTGAATTTGGATATTGCAATTATTAATAACATAATAAACACAAAAATAATATTTAATTATATTTATTTAATTAAGAGGTTATATAAAGATTATCTGAAATGTTTTGTAGGTTCATGCAATGTTATCAATTCTATAAATAGGTCAAACCTAACCCAAATTGACATTTTTTATGCCAGAGCTACTACCTGAATCCCCAGCGGGAAATTTAAATTCCAGTTAGTCAGCATGACGCCGAATATGTCCATGGTTGGCAACAATGAATTTAAAAATCGCGCCCTCTATTACGTAACTTAAGTTTAATTGGTATTGAATATAGTTTTACAAATATCTTTTAATTGAAAATTGAATTTATTAAAAAATGTATTAATACATTTACTACTATTAAGTCACTATTAAATGTATAAATTCCATTTACTTTCGTAAAATTTAACGAATCTTTTTTTATACAAAGTGAGTTTCCTACGATGTTCTCTATGGGTATCTCGGAAACTACTGGAGATAGAAGGTTCGTTCCAACCATGAATCATAAACAGATTTGAAACAATTTGCAAATCTTGTCCAATGCGCATGTCTGTAAAATAAATTGTTTTCTAGCCAATTTGAAACTACGGTTGGAACACCTGACACATTTTAATATTTCCGGTGACAAATTCAAATTACTTAAAAACATAGAAACTCGATAAATAATCCTATTTATTGAACTAATTTTCACATTAAATCTATCGGCAACATCTCGAAAACTTGTAGTCTGGTGTCCCGTATACCACAATAGATGAGAACCTGAAATTAAGTTACATCTTTAAAGAAAATACCAATTTCAGCAAATGATTATTTTATATTTTACTTGATGCAAAGCAGGAATATTGCCATATTGGCCAACTTGGCTATTAAATTGGAATTGGAAATTAATTGGAATCTTGAGGCACAGTTTCCTCTGAAAATATTAACACAATAAGATATTAGATAAATTTATGTGCAAAAATGTCGATTTTACCTCAATAATTTTGATTATTAATTCTGTGCTCATCTAGTAGTAATTCTAAATCCTCCTCATCACTACTTTCCATGGACGACACGTCACTAATCTCACTACTATACTCTTCGTCACTCATTGCGATTTAATTATGATATCTGTTTACAAGTCTTTAATTAGTTGAACAGTCCGTTTAAATTATTCAAACAGATACGAGTATAATCAAATTTGCTATTATTTTATTGGTTATGACGTGGTTATAGGTTATAACGGTAATACGCATGCGTCGGATAAATGATAGGAGAAAATTTTGCAAACCGTTCTGACAGTTTTCAAACAGTTTTCAATTTAAGTTGGAACAGAAAACAAATGATTTACTAACCGTCAGTAAATCCGGTTGGAACGCTTTTCAACTTCTGCGCAAACTCCTTACTGTAAGAAACCGTTTCTTACGCGGGTTGGAACGAACCTAGAGAGTAAGTTAAATGGGGAAAGAATTGCCGTTTTATGGGGTCGTAAATATGCGCCTTTCAGATTTTTGAAAAAGTTCATGGCTTACTAGATATTTCGAAAAAAAAACAAATTTTGGCTATTTTAAAAATTTTCCCAATTCCATTATAATCTATTTTAGACAAAAAGTTTTCAGATAAAAGTTGTAGATAATCACATCCCCAATGAGTTTGTGTTCTCCGATTTTTTTCTAAAGCCTGTCAATTGTGACAAATGACACCAACATATGTTTTTTTAAATGGAAACCATAGCTGGCCAGGACTTCATAAAAAGCGCCATTTTTTCAGCTTTTCAACGATATAAGCTATAATATCTTTTTTTCGAAAAATTACTGAGTTATGGCCAATTTTTATCATTTTTAAACAATTTCACTTAGTTAAAACAAGTTCAATTGTCGTTGCTCTGAGAAATGTTAAACTGTCACATCCAAACTTCGGAAATTAAAATAAACAAAAATTGTAAATATGACTTTTTCAAATGAAGAAAAGCGTGTAGGATTATTGGTTCAACTTTTCTTGGCCATACATTTTCGAGGATACGTTGACCGGTGAACGTTACTTACGTTTTTTAGAGAACAGGTTTTAAGACATATTAGAAAAGTTAAATTTAGATACTCGCGCATCAGTAGAGTGGTTCTAACTTCCAACAAGACTTTGATGATGACACCCTCCTCCCCCCCTCCCATAATGAAAGAAATGTTAAAAATGATTTTTATCATAATTATGCAAACTCGGGGATAGGTAAGAAAGTGGGACCAATTGCATAGGCCTCCTCGATCACCTGACCATTCATTTTAGATTTTTTTATACGGTATGGTTAATAACAAGGTTTACTAAAGAACTTATGAACTAAGAGAGGCACTCGAAGAGGCGGTACGGGAGAAGTTTAATTAAGTAGACCGGTCGTTCTGTGAGAATAGCTAGTAATTCAGTTTTAAACAGATGCATTTACTTATATGTACTCAAAACAATGCGAATTTTTAAAAAAATTTCTAAAATAACATAAAGTGCATGTAGTGATATTATTTTTTTAAGTTTTAGTTTGTATCGTATGTCAAAAATGACAGGTTTTAGAAAAAATCGGAGAGCACAAACTCATTAGGGATGTGATTATCCACAAATTTTATCTGAAAACTTTTTGTCTAAAATAGATTATAATGGAATTAGGGACAATTTTTAAAATAGCCAAAACTTGCTTTTTTCGAAATATCTATACAGGGTGGCCCATCGAAAACGTTCCGCAAGGCATAACGGCCAGGGTATTTTTTTTTTTCAAAAAATCCGAAAACGCTTCAATTTTGTTTGTGAGGGGGACAACTTTTGCCCCAAAAATGATTGCAAAATCTTCAACCGTCCAAGCGGGGCTGTCCTCCCCCAACTTTTTTCAAATGGGAAGGGGGTCATGTGGCGCCGCAATGAAAAGAGCTTTCTATTCTCTATATTTCCCCGCTTCGTTTTTGAAAATTGGTCGAGTCATTGAGAAAATATTAAGGATTGAAATTTGAAAATTTTATTTAAACATTTATCAGAGTAAATGATAAAGATAAATCCTTCTACCAATTTGCTGTTTTTTCTTATTATTTCTAGATTTTTACGCATTTTTTCACTTGCCACAAGGTTTTGTTTCACTTGCCACAAGGGTTTAACCATCTATGTCTAAAATGTTCAAAGGTAATCTTTTTTTTATATATTTCGAAACATGACTTTGTTGGCTTTAGCAAAGAACTAAGATACACCTTTCCCCTAATTTAATAATCCTTGAAACTTCTCGTTTACGACATTCCTGTAGTGTACGTTCTTATATGGAACGCCGAGTAAACCTGAAATTCAATATAGGTATGTGACTGCAGCTTTAGATCAAAGCATGACATGTCCAGAGCTGGTTTAGGGCAATAACGACCTATATCTCTCAGTAATCGGTTTTGGATTATTAATAATACGGACCCCACATGACAGTCCAATCGATATTTCGAGGTTTCCGTTGAGGTTAGTCCCGACCCTTTGGACTCTCTACGGCTTCGCAGAAGTATTAAATTACTGCTATGTTTATTCTTGTGTACGGTAAATTCAGGGTTAAAACGTCTGTAATGCGAATTAAAGCTGAGGTATTATGCTTTGGGCCCGATATATATAGTTCGGTCTGGCATATTTACCGCCATAATATTATTCCAAGTTAGGTCTGGAGTAATAATAATAAATCAGATATACCTAGGAGGGTAATTTCGTCTGTAAAAATATACATAGGAAATTCATGGTTTGAAGATGGGCATTGAGATCAGCGAAATTACAAGAACATACATTTAATTATGGTTAAGTTATTAAATTGGTGCGTAAACAGTGTCAAAAAACGTTTTCTTCTCTTATTGTTATATATACCGTCTACGGCATTCAGTCTTACGATGATATCTCTTCAGTTCGTCTTCAGTTCTTACGATAATATTCTTTGCAATGAGGAAAATGCACGTTTTTAAATAATGGTTTTAAAAAACAGTTCATATAATTACAAATTGAACAAAAATAAATCGTTGATATCGGTTAAGAAATGCCTCTAATATAAAATAATTAAATACTGTTAATTTAAATGGCCGGGCAAACGCTCTCTACCGCGCTTTGCCGCTGTGACGTCACCCGCCGTTCTTCTGGTTGAGTGGAGCCAGACGCGTGTTTATTATACACAGGTTGCTTTTAAACACTGTTGAATCCGAGTCAAAATTTTAGTTATTTGTGTTAATTAATACATAATTAGTAATTAGTGATATTTATAAATAGAAATGGATGAGCGAAAACAGAAAAAAATAGTCCAAGGCCATGAGAAGAGATGAAAAGAAAAACGTTAAATTATCCTCTATTTTTACGATTTATTGTTGTGAAGATCATTTTGATGTAAGTTCATTTTGATGTAAGTTATATTTATGTATATTGTCTTACATAGGTATATGAAATTTGAATGTACAGGGTTATTCATTATATTTTGACACCCACATAAGCCTTAACTGCAAGTTTTAGAAGAAAACATTAAATAAAAAAGTTGCATGGTTTTTCATATACTCTCTTTTAAAATTAATTCTAGTTATACAGGGTGTCTCAAAAAAGGTGATCCAGAAAATTGTAGGTATTTTTCGCTTTTCGACTGTCAATATTTCGTAAACATTTGAAGATAGGTATAGGATATTATACATGAAATATAGAGAATATCTAGAAATTTCCGAAGAATCCAAAAATATATAGAGTGTTTCACTTAAAAAAGTAATTTAATTTTGGCGTTTGCTTATGGGACACCTTGTATAATATTTTCATTACTGATAAACAATTTATTTCCTATAATTTCGTAAAAAAACAATCTTTAAAAATAACAAGGGTAAGGGGGTGTCAATATATAAAAAAACTTTCTTTTTCACGCTATGCTCTGGAGTTATTTTTCCACGTACTAAACAAATATTTTTGTCTCTTTTCACTTCTACATAACCTACAGCATTATCTCCATACGTCTCCCTACCTGATCTGAAAAATAAGTTTATAACATTAATATTTATTACTATATAAAAGTTCGTAACAGTAGGTACCTACTTATAGTTAAATATGCCTCAGTACTACAAAGAATAAATGTTACATACCTCTCTGTTTTTTTCCTCGTAATTCAGCACCAATAAATTGGGAATTTGAATTTATAAAAGCAGCCAACATAAAAGCATCGACTTTTGGCAAGTTATCTGATTGTGCTTTTACAAACCCGGAATCTGCCATTACTTAAAAAATTCTCAGAACACACAAAACATACAAATAATAACTGCACAAAAAAGCATAAAAAGCTCCTTCAATCAACGCTAAAAGCAACAAAAATGTCTTAGTACGCCACCTAAATACGTACATAAACGGAACACGTCTGGCTGCTGCTGGCCATCGCGCGTCGACGAGAACGGCGGATGACGTCAGACCAATAGAATATCGTTTCAATCCGCGAAGCGTCGTTTGCGTTATCCATAGTATTTTAATGGCCCGTTTTATAAAATTGTGGTACTGCTTTCAAGAAAAAAGTTTTTTTTGCATTTACACATATTTATTCTAATAAATTGAACAGTTTCTGGCGAAAAATAAAATATATGCATCTTCCTCATTTAGAAGAACGTATATACATATTTGTAAATTCAACATTGAATTTACAAATTATTAGACTAATTGATTGAAACGTCATACAACTTTAGTGATGAGCCGGACTGGTCTTGGTCTTGGCAAAAGACGCGTTAGATTTGAGTAGAGAGCTGTGTAGAAATTTCGAAATAGTCATCTGTCAACAACGCCAATCAAAACTTCTGGTCAAATTAACTAAAACATTTTTATTTTCTTATAACACAATTAAAACATGTATTCTTTTGTGGAAAAAAAACGAGAAAAAAACGTTTGCTGGTAACATTTTTCTTCGGCCTCCTGTTGGGTATGGTTAGTGGCTGTTATTACATTATTTATTCCTAAAACAAATCATCTCTGTAACGCGTATAAATAATTATAAAATCGCATAAGAAAAATATCTGTACTTGTACTCACTATATGTGATTTCTTCTGCTTTTTTTATTACAGTATTATAAAAACTTGAAGAATGCTTAAATTGTTAAGTTTTCCCCATTTTGTAAAAACTGCAGAACAAAATCCAAACAGTAAAGTAAGGTTATGTTCTCATATTTGACCGAATATTAAATAAATTATGGAAACTTTTCAGGCACAAAACGGGTTCGAAATCTTTGTAAATGTAAGCCACATCTGTTTCTTAAAAGTTTCGAAAAATTTGTGACACTAAGATCTTTATTGTTATAGCTTATGTAGCGAAATCATATTTTGGTAAAATGCTTCGAAACAAAAAGCGATTTATGTTACGAAACATATGTATCAAAAATATATCAAATTCCAGAACTTTTGTGTGTTGACACAAACACCATCATTGTTTCGAACCTATCGCAAT